CTGGTTTAGGTGGTAAAGGTGAGATCACAGAAATGGAAATACAGCCATTACTGATGATGTTCTGTGTAAAAACGACCATGTGCATGTCCGCATGCACCAACAGTAGGTTAATAATAAACTAAAGAAACGGCAGCATAAAATATCTAATCCTGTTTGTACCAAACTCTGTCCAACACACACAAAGGGCCAAGCATACGATACTCCACATTCTGATTCCGTAAACTGACTTTAATTGCGTAATAAACAATTTCTTTTTGATGAGAGCCAGTCTTATAAACTCAGAACTCTGTGACAGCTATTATCACATTATGAGGCTGAACAGGTAGGTGTGTGTGTGTGTGTGTGTGTGTGTGTGTGTGTGTGTTACCTGTCTTTTGAAATAGGAGCAATCAGTGGAGCATACCAGTTGATTCCAACCTCACAGTGAGCGTCCAGGTAGATCAGCACCTAAAAGACAAACGCACACAAACACCTGGATGTTTCTCTTTCACGTGATCCACAAAGACTTTACTTGTGCAACTTGTGTGCAACTTGTGTGCCCCCCCTTAATACTGCACCAGGTCAGAGGAACAATTGACAGCATTACTTCTCTTAGAATCTCATTCAGGAAACCAGTGGTGATACCCAACCCTCATAAACATCCACACACTAGTAACAGTAACAGTGACAGGTCCAGAGACGCAGCAGCACTGAGACCACGGTACCTGTCCTTTAGCAGCCTTCTTGGCTCCTATACTCCTGGCCTGGATCAGTCCTTCTCTCTTCTCATTTCTGAAGAGTTTGACGAGACCGTTCCATTGTTTGATGTACTCCTCCAAGCGCTCCTTCAGATGGACTAACACACACACACACACACACACACACACACACACACACACACACACACACACACACACACACACACACACACAATGATAGAACTTTACTTCGGTACTGTACTAAATATATTTTTTGAGTATCTGTACTTTACTTGAGTATTTTTTATTTCTTTTTAGAAAAAACTCCCCTACACTTAAAGACAAATATTGTACTGACTCCAACCCATTTCTATGAGGGACTCTTACTTTGAAGCAGAGCTTTTAGTCAGCGAATGAATATTCTTTTATTTTGAAAATGTGATAGACCATACACTGTGTTGATCACAGGAGAAGAACCAATCACAGCCAACTCCTCCACTGTCACTCATGTGTGAACCTGTCAGTGTCCTAACGATGGCGACATTAGATAAAGATGAGGCAGAAGATTCTTCACCAGAGACCACGGTCTGATCTGAGGTCTGTGTTTGAAGGTTTACAAATAAAGAAAGATTTATTTAGTTAGAAAGGTTTGCTGAGTTTACCACGACCAGACTTCATCACTGACCAAATAAATAAATAAATAAATAAATAAATAAATAAATAAATAAAATGAAAACAACAATGGATCCTTTTGTTGATTCATTTGTTTTTATGTCCATGTCCTCAGTCTTTGTATCATAATATAGTCTTTTTATTCTACAGGTTCTACAGTCAGTCAGTCAGTCAGTGAGCCAACAGGTTCTATAAATATGGATCAATACAACAATGAGTTGACATTAAAAATGTACTTTTGAATACTTCCGTATTTTTAAAATCAAGTACTCCAGTACTTTAACTCATAGCATTTGACCTGGAGGATCTAAACTCAGACTCCAGTGATGGAGTTGTGGACTTTGTCCACCTCTGCCCACCACCAGAGCTGCTTACAGAGGATATTTATTTAAAAAATGTGCATCCAGCTGTCCTCTTTGATCAACTCATCTCGGCCCTTCCCACCATCTTCCCCACAATGCCTCTGTTTCAGTTCAGCTCTCCCTACGACAGTGTTATGCTACATCACATATATCCATGACAGTTTGGCCTCTGTCTGCCCTCTGTTTCCTACGCCAAACTAACAGGGGGCAGCACATCACCACAGAGTCCGAAATCTGACTCACTGATGCTGGAATGTTCAAAGATCACATTTTATTCCAGCCTCCATACTGTGTGAGCAAAGCAAACCCACCTTTGTTGCTGTAGTCATCTATCATGACAATCTCAGCCAGGTACTTCCTGGGAGTCCTCTTGATGACACTGTGGACGGTTCTCATCAGAGTAGACCAGCCTTCATTATGGAAGACTATCACCACACTGGAGGTCAGCAGTCTGTCGTCATAATACCAGTACTTACACCTGGAGATGTGGGACAGAACACAGAGTGCAGGTCAGTTACATTCATTCAGAAATGTCATGAATGTTGCTGCTCTCTGTCTCTAATGCAACGTCTCTGTGTAAACATGAAAAGAGCAAAAAGGGTTGATTTGGGTTGGATAAATCTCCTAGAAAAGAAATGGAGGGGCAGCGGGTAGGGAAACCACGAGAACCGATACTTCAGGAATCGGAAAATGGGATGGTACTTGTTTTTCTACAGAACTGAAGGTACTGAAGGTATCATATGTGCTGGAGATGTTATTCTTCTAGGACTTTCGAGAGCAGTAGAATAACACTACAAGTGTTCTAGTCTAACATCAAATTCAGAAAGAAGAAGACAGGCACAGTAAATAACAACAACCATGGCGAACAACAGTGGCAAGTGCAGGTGCAGCAACAGGTCCGTCACAAGTTGTCCAAAAAAAGAAAACATGGAGATAGTTAGTATTTGTGTAGTAGTATGTGTGTGTGTAAGGTAAGGCAGTAGATAATGTTCGGTTTTATTCAAAGTGTTCTAGAGAGTTGTTTAAGGTAAACACAAGAAACTTGTGCTACAGAAAATGGACCAGACTCAGTGAATAGCTCCCTAAGCTTAACATCCTAAGTCCTATGATAAGTATTAATTTAGCTATACAGACTAATGAGCAGTGATAACTAACATGTCTTTGGGGTCATCAGGTGGGAACCTCATTTCACCAGTGTTTCGTCTAGTTGGTCCCACGACACCTCCAGGAGGCTAGACAGTGATCACTGGCGTCTCAGAGTCACTCCCCTAATGCCAGCCATAACTGCTCCTCACACCACAACTATTTTCACCTTTATCTTGCCTATGCTACCACACACAACATCATCAACTAGGACAAAACACACTAGCAGATTCAGCAAACAAACTCCCCTAACCAGTTGGAGAAAGTGGCGGCCATTTTGAATGAGGGAGGTAGAGTCAAGGAGGGATGCCTTATTGAGCTAAACTCTCCCCCGCCGGATTAGGCTGTGCTCTACCTCCCCCTACTCCCCCACTCTCCAAGACAATGAGGGAGGTAGAGTCAGGGAGAGGTGCCTTTTGGGCTAGCTCTCCCCCGCTGGATTAGGCTGTGCTATACCCCCTCCCCCCCTTCTCCCCTACTCTCCAACAACTCAACTAAAATAAACAAACTCACCTAAACAGCCAAAGACAAAAGCAATAAGCACACTACAAACCAATTCAAACAACGCAAACAAACAATACAGGCCACCTCACCTGGACTAACCGCATGGTCTCAAAGAGGCTCACACAGGCCACACCNTATACCCCCTCCCCCCCTTCTCCCCTACTCTCCAACAACTCAACTAAAATAAACAAACTCACCTAAACAGCCAAAGACAAAAGCAATAAGCACACTACAAACCAATTCAAACAACGCAAACAAACAATACAGGCCACCTCACCTGGACTAGCCGCATGGTCTCAAAGAGGCTCACACAGGCCACACCACCCACTTTAAAAAAAAAAAAAAAAAAACACATCCTCTTCCTAGATTTCTTCCTTGCTTCTCCTAAGAGTCTGTCTATCCTAAGTGCTCCCCCTGCTGGGCCCCCAGCTACCATTATTTAATCTCATCCAAATCCACTGACTGGATCTTACTGCCTCATCTGACATGTCCTTTACTATTTTCCTCACACTCTGTCCACTTCCTCCTAACTCCCTCACCAAAGAAACAACAGACCTTGCTACAAATCCTCTACATCCTACTTCCACTGGACAAATCCTAACTTTCCATCCTCGCTGCTCTGCTTCTGCCCCTAACTCTACATACCTGAGCTTTTTCCTTTCATATGCTTCTTCAACTGAAGCCTCCCACGGAACAGTCAGCTCTATGAAATATACTTTCATTCTACTCCTAGACCACAAGACTATGTCAGGCCTTAGCTTTGTACTGGCTATTTCCTGGGGAACAACAAGCTTTCCTCCTAAATCTACCTGCATTTCCCAATCACAAGCATCCTCTAAGCTGCCTTGCCTCCTTGTTGTCTTACCAACTTTCTCTCCCTCTTGAACAAACTTGATTGCAACTCTCTTTATTTTAGGCCCTCCTAAATTTGCCTGCCTCCGTAAATCTTCAATTCCTGCAGCTAAGCTTTTTAAAACCTGGTTATGTTGCCACGTATACCGGCCTTGCAACAGACTAACCTTACAGCCTGACAAAATGTGCTTTAAAGTTGCAGTACCTGAACACAATGAACTTAACTCAACTGTGTGATCATCATGGAGGATGTAGCATGTCTTAATTCTGAGCTGTATCACGCTATACTGAGAGGTGTGTCTGTTATTTAGCCTTACTCCATTGATATAAATGGGGTGGACAAAATAATAGAAATGCCTTTCAATAGACTTTATGTAGCAGTAGTTTAGTTTTGGTGTTTGTGTTATTTTTAATTTTGACACCAAGATTTTTAATTTTTACTGCAAATGTAAATTGTTCCAAATATTGGTTATCAGTGTCCTTGATTACTAATATCACTATTGGCCGAGAAAAGAACCACACGGGGCAAGGTGACTTACAACAACCTGTGCAGCTATGTGCTGGATAGCAAGCTGGCTATGTAGGAAGATGACATCCACATTCTTATTCCTACTTACTAAGCTCTGATTGGTTGACTGCTTCTCCAACAGCAGAAACCCCTGATAGAGATCACAACAACAGACCCATATATTTAAATCACTGAACAAACTGGAGATGTGACACCAGGCAAGGATTACAAGTGCTTTATGTAAAAACTACTAAAACAATAATTAAACAATAATATGCTGCCAAGTTAGCTAACAGAGCCCTGTGCCATGAAGCAGGTTCAACATTATCAAGGATAACTTTTATTTATCTGGTTTAACTGAACCTAACATTGACCGTCCAGATAACCTGTACTATGAAGCTGGTTATCACTTGGTTCAGTTAACTCTGTGTTTACTTGTCCGGCTACGAGTGTGTCATGTAAAAGAGGCAGAGTTTTAATTATAAGCAACATCATCAGAATCATGAATAAAGTATTAATATGATATGAAAAGAAACTGTGATTCCATTAAAGTGATGTCATAAAGTGATATTCAACAAGGTGAAATGTAAACAACATGATCACATGACTAGAATAAAAAAGAAACACTAGAAATATTTTCCAATGACTTATGTCAGGCTAATGATATTGTAAATAAGAGAAAACTAATTATCATGAATTATGAATCCTTATCTTACTGAGTATTTTGCTCTTTTGTCTGATGATGAACAAACTGTTATGAACATGTGATAGGAGAGGAGAGAAGACTAGCTGATGTTTGATGATACAGTCTGACTGAAATGTTCATTTCTAATCATGGAAACATTGAACAGTGTGTGGATCATTGTTGGTTTAGTTTTTATTTCTCTTCATGTTGTTCTGAGCTTAGTGATGAAGAAGAGAGTAAAAGCTTTGTCACTGTCAGTAATCTTTTTGATTAAAGAATCTGTTTTCAGGTCAAATGAAGCTCTAATAGTTATTGTGTAGTTATTTAGTAGATCCTGTAGGAATGGTGACTCAGTTACCATGGGGATTTACCCCAGTAACACGTGAAGCACCGTCATAGAACTGAAAACCCAGAGTTAAACCTGAAGTTATC